GTCATTATATTAGCCCAAACCACTGTGGTTTGGCTTTTTGAGTTGATACTAACTTAACAATGGCTGGTTGTTTCTATTATAGCTGAACAAGTTTGTGGTTTTTTTAAACTGTTCTATTAATGTTGCTTACTATGCAGTTCTGTGCTTGTCTACTGGAAACTAAGAGTGGATCTACACACAGGGCAGGGGGACGACGCTATAGATAAGTCTGACATTAAATCGTTATAACAAAAGGAACACACACTGTGGAAAATAGCAACAACAAAAAATGCTCTCCAGTGCCATCTGGCGTTGCATGTTTATAACGTATTCAAAACGCTGGTTTTTTTTTACTAATGTAGCCGAGTCCTAAGTCCCACTGAGTTCAGTTGGCCTTGGTAAAGGTAAAGGTACCCCTGACCATTAGGTCCAGTCATGGACGACTCTGGGTTTGTGAGTTCATCTCGCTTTATAGGCCAAGGGAGCCGGCGTTTGTCCGCAAACAGCTTCCGGGTCATGCGGCCAGGAGGAATAAGCCGCTTCTGGCAAACCAGAGCAGCATACGGAAATGCCGTTTACCTTCCCGCTGGAGTGGTACCTATTTATCTACTTGCACTTTGACGTGCTTTCAAACTGCTAGGTGGGCAGGAGCAGGGACCGAGCAACGGGAGCTCACCCCGTTGGGGGGATTTGAACCGCCGACCTTCTGATCGGCAAGCCCTAGGCTCTGTGGTTTAGACCCGCGTCCCTTTCAGTTGGCCTTACTCTCAGGTAAGTGGATCCAGGCTTGGACTTCACTCCTTCACCGCCCTTTATGTTTCGGTGGTTGGGGGCTGGACTGAATAGGGGCATTTCTCTGCTCTCTCCTGCCAGTTAGCCAAACAGAAGCCAAGTTTGCAGGTAGGCAAGAGGGCTGCTTGTGGCATCACCTCCAGCCAAAAGCCCCCAAATAGATGGTTCCCCATCCTGTACTCAGCTCTCACCTGTGGCTCCTGGAAGCTGTCAGCATGAGGCAGCAGCCACACCCCAGAAACAGATTCGACTAAACCAGGTGAGGGTCACTGATGAGTCCCAAACCCTTGGTGAGTTAGGGACTTCCCTTGCATATGAAGACAGGCACTGGCAGTTTGAGCAGAGGAGACCAATAGTGGGTTCAACGGACAAGAAAGTGGTTTCTGCATGTGCTGGAGAGGGATGTGAGGGGCAGGTGGGGCTTGTCTGGCAAGGTAGCCCATCCAGGAGAAGGAAAACTGGTCCTTAAAAGGCTAAGGGGTAAATCCTACACAAATCCAGAATGATGGAGTCCCTAAGGTGGTTGGATGGGGATACAGGGAGCCTCAGAAAATCCTGAGGAGCAGCTCCAGTGGAGGAGAGAGGGAAGGGGCCAGCCAAGCAAGTGAGGAAAGGGCTCAAGGATGCTGCTGAGAGCCCCAGCGCCTCACCTCGCCAGGTTGCCCAGGAGGGACGCACGCCACTTTGTGCAGAGGTGTGAAACGCAAGGAGGGGAGGAGGAGGCTTGGGGTGCCGAAGTTCTTATGTTGGAGGAGAAGCTGAAAGGGGCCACTCCCAGATTCTTTAAGTGACTAAGACAGACATGAACCTTTTAGATCTGCACTGTAAATAGTTTACACAATAAATAGAACCTTCCAAGGGTGATGAGGGGCCAGAGCTTAGCAGCATCCACTGGATCCTAAGCCCCATCTCACAGGCAGCACTGGCCAGCACTGGGTCGAATCTGCCCGGCCTCCTGCCTCACCACCTGTGTCTGGGCTACAGATACAGCAGTGACTGTGAGAAGGTAGGGTGGCATCCTCAGCGTGTTTTATGCTAGCTGCCTTGAGCCTCGGGGGGGGGGGGATGAGATGGAAATGTTTCCAAACAAATATCCACCTTGGCTCCAAGTTCACAGATCAATTATGTGCTTGTCGTTGACCGTCTGCAAGTGCCTTTGCACATTATGAAAAATGGGTTCTGCTGCTTTTGGTGGGGGCCAATCTCTGCATTCTGGATGTAGGTACAACTCACTCTGTGCTCATGAGAGAAGACAGTGGTGAGCTTCAAGGAGTGTGTGGGCACTCTCATCCAAGCCAAAGCCCCAGGATCAGGGGTGCCAACTTGAATAAAATATTGGTGGGGCAGGAAAGCCCTGCCCCACATAATCAATCACATGACATGGCAAAAACACACCATTTGAATGCCAATCCTCATCAACTTGGGGGTGGGTCTCCTCGAATATTTTATTGGGGAGGCCAAAGGAACCTTGGCCCCTAGGAGTTGACTCCTGTGCCCCAGATGCAGGAGGAGGGTCCATGAAAAATGGGAAAGACTCTCGTTCCTTTCCATTAGGGCAAATGGGACCCTGCCCCACCAATCTCATTTTGCTCTCTGCCAGGCCCCGCCCGCCCGATTTCGTCCTTACAACAAGTCCAGGAAGCAGCCTGGGCCGTCACCTTCCTCCTCCTTAATCTTGCCCCTTTTAGAACTTAGCGGGGAGGTGAATGGGGGACAAAACTGGAATTAGTTGTCTCTGCCTGTTATCGGCTCTGGCTCCATCTACTGTTGGCCGCCTGCTTTACATCCTATCAGCTCTAATGGATACCAGCCACCTTCGGAAGGGAAGGGGTGGGTCCTAGCGGAAGCAGCAAGCCTCCTAGTGCGAAGCCCTGCTGGAGTAGCCCAAGACATCACCTTTCATCTGGAGTGAGGTCCTAGTTGTGAGTAAGGCAAGGAAGGCAGGAATTGATCATGGCTGGAGGGAAAGGTGGAGGCCCAGAAGAAAGGAATCTGGTGGCTCTTCATGGTCAGTGATGGAGCTTCAGAGAAGACAGAACTGGGCGACAATAGCCCTCTTCCTTTAATTTGACACCAAAGAGATATGCCCCTCTCCTTTCTTCAAACAGGAAATGGTTTCCTTCCATAGTAAAGGTAAAGGGACCCCTGACAATTAGGGCCAGTCGCAGATGACTCTGGGGTTGCGGCGCTCATCTTGCTTTATTGGCCGAGGGAGCCGGCATACAGCTTCCAGGTCATGTGGTCAGCATGACTAAGCCGCTTCTGGCTAACCAGAGCTGCTCACGGAAACGCCGTTTACCTTCCCACTGGAGTGGTACCTATTTATCTACTTGCATTTTGACATGCTTTCGAACTGCTAGGTTGGCAGGAGCAGGGACCGAGCAACGGGAGCTCACCCCGTTGCGGGGATGCGAACCGCCGACCTTCTGATCAGCAAGCCCTAGGCTCTGTGGTTTAACCCACAGCGCCACCCACGTCTTCCTCCCATAGTAGTGACATTCTAATTTTTTTCCCCTTCAAATCGCAAGGGACTTCAGTTCCATATATTTTGAATCAACGATTCTCTGCGACGTTTGCTGAAGCATCACCCGAGCTGCTGTTACACTATGCCTCCTGTGCCGACATCCACATCTCATTAAAAACAAAACAAAAGAGGCAGGCATGCAACTGATGTGTACAGCTTCTCTTGAATATGCCTGTCCTTGTGCCCATCTGTTCAGGTGGCACCATGCCCACTGGGGTACAACGCCAGCTTCTAACATCGCCTAGGTGCCAACAAATGGAAGCACCTAGGCTATGCGAGAGGGGAACAAACTGTACGACATAGAGGGATGGCGTCGCTCTTGCCAGAAGATCCTCCTGTTTGCAAACAGAGCCAACTTCGGATGACATGCTTCGTTACGCAGGAATCCATCTGTAGCAACTTGCGAGCGAACAACAACACCCGGGCCTGTTCTCCCTTGGCCGCAAAACATCCGTCCTTTTCAAATTCAGCTTGCCAAATGGGGGCTGCAGGAGAACGGAGTTCATTTTCCTTTCCCGGTCCAAGGCCAATCTAGTAAATCATCTGCAGCAAAGTTCTTTGTTCTCTGAAAGTAGCTGGCAGGTTTTGCAGCACTGAGCCCTTCTCCTTCATTTCCAGTTGTTCAGTGTAGACAGAAACAAGGCTGGACCTACCATTAGGTAAGCCGAAGCAAGTGCCTCAGGTGGCAGATACTGGGCAGAGGTGGCAGAAGCACTCTGGCTGTTGCTCTAAAGGACCACAGGCCATTCCCCTCTGCTGGAAGACAGTATTGTGTGTGCTACACAGCATGGGTTGGAGTGAAAAAATGGTGGCCATCAGGCCAGGAAGACCATCATCTGTTCTGTCTTCTGACAGATTCTTTTCTGTTTAAATGGAAATTGTTATACCATATTTTTCGCTCTATATTTTTCGCACCAGACCATAAGACACACCTAGTTTTTGGAGGAGGAAAACAAGAAAAAATATATTCTGAATTCCAGAAGCTAGAACAGCAAGAGGGATCGCTGCGCAGCGAAAGCAGCAATCCCTCTTGCTGTTCTGGCTTCTGGGATAGCTGCACAGAGTGCATTCGCTCCATAAGACGCATACACATTTTCCCTTCTTTTTAGGAGGGGAAAAGTGAGTCTTATAGAGCCAAAAATACGGTATATTTTGCTTTTTCGCAACCCTGCTGATGATTGTTTACAAAATTCAAGTTTTCACTTATCTAGATGATTTCTTCGCTCTTGATCTCATATTGCTTTTCATTATGGTAGTTCTAGAAGCAATCAGGCTAGACCTTGGTACAAAAGGGAATCTAACTGAAGAAGAGACTCAGACTTGTGATCACTGCGGCAGCATAATTCTGTCCGTCCACTTCCTTGTGGGGCAAATTTACATCCTATGAGCAGAATGTCATTTTTAATGTTGTACTGCTTGTGACAGGTGGACTTGAAGGAATCCTGTAAATCATAGCCATTGCTGAATTCGTCAGCTAACTCATGATGCTACCTGAAATATCAAAAAGATGTGTGAAAGGAGAAAGATCTTTTAAAGACCAAATCCAGTGACTTCAAGACAAATTCAATTCATACGACCTTTGGAAAGGTGAATACCAAGTTGAACTTCTGGGAACTACAATATTTAATGGCTTGAGTGCTAATTAGCAGCCTCTGCAAATGGAAGAGCTCCTTCCATTTGTGGCCAACAGCATTTTTGACCAGTTGCCCCTTCTCTTTGCACTGCTTCTCTTGCTGCCCTGACCCTCCTGAGTGGACTTTCAAAGGCTCAGCATGTGGGAACTTGCCAGCAGAACCTTCTTTCAAATCTAAGAAAAGATATTTTTATTTAGTATAGCCCCTTTATGTATAAACATCCCATGTGGTTTCTCCCTCACCAGATCTATGTTCTGCAATGTATCTTAGAATTGTGTTTTTAACAAGATGGCATTTGGTAGTGTGTTAAATATTACAATATTTTTAAATTTGTATTTATAGACAGTATATATTTCTATTTCTCTATCAACGTGTTTAAGAATAAACAGACTGCAAGTCGAACATATTTAACAGATGCTAATTGAGCTGGTGGCTATGGCTATTCTGATGGACACTCCAAAGTTGTGTTTTTTGTTTTTGTTTTTACTAAGACACCCTCCAAAATATGGGGAACCAGGCAGAGGGCCTTCTTGGTAGTGGCGCCTGCCCTATGGAATGCCCTTCCATCAGATGTCAAGGAAATAATCAACTATCTGACTTTTAGAAGTTTTTAATGTTTGATGTTTTATCGCGTTTTTAATATTCTGTTGGGAGCCGCCCAGAGTGGCTGGGGAAACCCAGCCAGATGGGTGGAGTATAAATAATAAATTATTATTATTATTATTATTATTATTATTATTATTATTATTACTGTGGTACTGTGAGCCAGTGTGGTGTAGTGGTTAAGAGCGGTAGCCTCGTAATCTGGGAAACCGGGTTCACGTCTCCGCTCCTCCACATGCAGCTGCTGGGTGACCTTGGGCCAGTCACACTTCTCTGAAGTCTCTCAGCCCCACTCACCTCACAGAGTGTTTGTTGTGGGGGAGGAAGGGAAAGGAGAATGTTAGCCGCTTTGAGACTCCTTAAAGGGAGTGAAAGGCGGGATATCAAATCCAAACTCTTCTTCTTCTTCTTCTAGCTCAGGTTACATTTGCTTCAGGTTACATATGCTTCAGGTTACAGACTCCGCTAACCCAGAAATAAGAACTTAAGAACTTTGCTTCAGGATGAGAACAGAAATTGTGCTCCGGCGGCGTGGCAGCAGGAGGAGGGCCCATTAGCTAAAGTGGTGCTTCAGGTTAAGAACAGTTTCAGGTTAAGAACGGACCTCTGGAACGAATTAAGTTCTTAACCAGAGGTACAACTGTTTAGCTTAGTCAGTAGAGCACGAGATGCTTAATCTCAGGGTTGTGGGTTCAAGATCCACATTGGGCAAAAGATTCCTGCATTGCAGATGGTTGGACTGTTAGAAGACCATCATGGTCCCTTCCAACTCTGCAAGTCTATGATTCTATGACCTAGATTCCAATTCAGGCTGAGGGGCATTGACAGGCAGGCATGTTTCCTTATCAGGGGTGGGTTTATGTGTGAGGAGCTTCTTGACACTCACATATCCAGGTGTGCTGCATGCTGCTACAAGAAGAAGAAGAAGAAGAAGAAGAAGAAGAAGAATAGTTTGGACTTGATATCCTGCTTTATCACTGCCCTAAGGAGTCTCAAAGCGGCTAACATTCTCCTTTCCCTTCCTCCCCCACAACAAACACCCTGTGAGGTGAGTGGGGCTGAGAGACTTCAGAGAAGTGTGACTGGCCCAAGGTCACCCAGCAGCTGCATGTGGAGGAGCGGGGAAGCGAACCCGGTTCACCAGATTACGAGACTACCGCTCTTAACCACTACACCACACTGGCTCCCACAAGGAGCTGCAACCTTGTATGGCTTGACACAGCACAGACCATATGGGAATTGTCCTGTACCAAAGCATCAACCTAAACTGCCAATGAGCTCCACCAGCTATTGTCAACACAAAGCCCTTAGATTTCCTCTGTCATCTCCCTTCAGTTCCTTGAATCAAAAGCATGTCAAGCCCACCGCTCAGCACACGCACAATCCTCAGCTCTCTGGCAGGCAACACGCTCCGTGGACACATCGACACTTGGAGATCAATTAATTGCTTTGGGTGTCAAAAATTGCTTCCCTCATTGTCACACCTGCCAGCCCCTACAAAATCCCCGTGTTCTTTATAGTCCTTCAGGAAGAGTCGGTGCCTGTAATGGGGAAATCAATCCAGGCGAGAGATGAGATAAAAGCCGTGTTCTTTTTTTTTTTAAGAGTCCCTCCTATAGTGGCAGGCACTGGTGGAATTTTAATGTGTTGATTTAACAGACCTGGCCATCTTAGCAGGAAGCTCAAGATGCACTGTCTTGTGTTTGCTCGGAAATGTGGAGAGCATTTGGTCGAGCCACTTCATGCAAAGCCAGGGGAGTTTCTGCAGGCAAAGGGGCTTCCTCAAAGCTTTGGGAAGGCTAGTGCACAGCGCTGTTACTAGTCATTTACACTGGAAGGGGTGCATTCTATTTAGAGCTGCTTAAGGCATTTGTGATGTATGGAAGTGAGAGCTGGACCATAAAGAAGGCTGGTCGCTGAAGAATTGATGCTTTTGAGTTATGGTGCTGGAGGAGACTCTTGAGAGTCCCATGGACTGCAAGAAGTTCAAACCTCTCAATTCTTAAGGAAATCAGCCCTGAGTGTTCACTGGAAGGACAGATCCTGAAGCTGAGGCTCCAGTACTTTGGCCACCTCATGAGAAGAGAAGACTCCCTGGAAAAGACCCTGATGTTGGGAAAGATGGAGGGCACAAGGAGAAGGGGACGACAGAGGACGAGATGGTTGGACAGTGTTCTCGAAGCTACTGGCATGCGTTTGACCAAACTGCGGGAGGCAGTGGAAGACAGGAGTGCCTGGCGTGCTCTGGTCCATGGGGTCACAAAGAGTCGGGCACTACTAAACAACTAAACAACAACAACAAGGCATTTGTTCTTTGCGAATTCCAAGAGGAACTGACCTGATCCACAGCTCCAGGGCTGTCTAGAGCAGGCACAGGCAAACTCGGCCCTCCGGATGTTTTGGGACTACAATTCCCATCATCCCTGACCACTGGTCCTGTTAACTAGGGATGATGGGAGTTGTAGTTCCAAAACATCTGGAGGACCGAGTTTGCCTATGCCTGCGCTAGAAGATTTTGCCTTTCTTTGAATTTTGCGATGGAGTATTCAGCTTTTAAAAAAAATTAAATACCAAAATGTGCTCACAAATGTGGATTTCCAGGTAAAATGTATTTTTAAATGAGACATATGTGTCCCACTCAAAAGTATTTCAAAATACATATTTAAATGTGAATTTAGATATGAATTTTCATGCCAGTTTAAAAAAAAATAAAGATTATGAAATGGGATGGAACAAACTCAACACATGCAAAATACAAACCAGTAATGGACTGAAACATTCATATCTATTTCTGCTTGCTTCTTTCCCATTTGTTCTCTTTCTACATTTCTTTAAAATATATGTGTACAAGAGGGATCTGCAACAAACATTGCAGTATGGAGTGTTACTGCTCAGGATTCCAGCTAGTGAACCATATCATCCTTCAGGATATTCTCTCCCATCCTGTTACCTTCTTGGCTTTCCATTACCATCACCTCCTCCAATAGCCAGCTAGCATTCTGTGACTACTGAGCATGCTCAGTTTTCAGACTCCCTTCCTGTAACAACATCTTCCTGTATTCAACATCTTTATCAACGACTTGGATGATGGACTCAAGGGCATCCTGATCAAATTTGCAGATGACACCAAACTGGGAGGGGTGGCTAACACCCCAGAGGACAGGATCACACTTCAAAACGACCTTGACAGATTAGAGAACTGGGCCAAAACAAACAAGATGAATTTTAACAGGGAGAAATGTAAAGTATTGCACTTGGGCAAAAAAAATGAGAGGCACAAATACAAGATGGGTGACACCTGGCTTGAGAGCAGTACATGTGAAAAGGATCTAGGAGTCCTGGTTGACCACAAACTTGACATGAGCCAACAGTGTGACGCGGCAGCTAAAAAAGCCAATGCAATTCTGGGCTGCATTAATAGGAGTATAGCATCTAGATCAAGGGAAGTAATAGTGCCACTGTATTCTGCTCTGGTCAGACCTCACCTGGAGTACTGTGTCCAGTTCTGGGCACCACAGTTCAAGAAGGACACTGACAAACTGGAACGTGTCCAGAGGAGGGCAACCAAAATGGTCAAAGGCCTGGAAATGATGCCTTATGAGGAACGGCTAAGGGAGCTGGGCATGTTTAGCCTGGAGAAGAGGAGGTTAAGGGGTGATATGATAGCCATGTTCAAATATATCAAAGGATGTCACATAGAGGAGGGAGAAAGGTTGTTTTCTGCTGCTCCAGAGAAGCAGACATGGAGCAATGGATCCAAACTACAAGAAAGAAGATTCCACCTAAACATTAGGAAGAACTTCCTGACAGTAAGAGCTGTTCGACAGTGGAATTTGCTGCCAAGGAGTGTGGTGGAGTCTCCTTCTTTGGAGGTCTTTAAGCAGAGGCTTGACAACCATATGTCAGGAGTGCTCTGATGGTGTTTCCTGCTTGGCAGGGGGTTGGACTCGATGGCCCTTGTGGTCTCTTCCAACTCTATGATTCTATGATTCTAACAGTCAGTTCAGGCACAGCTATCAACTCAACCTACAGTGAAGGAAGCCACATGGATTTCATTCAGCTTCTTTGCAATCTCCTTTTCCTCCTCTAGTATCATGGTACCCATGGTGTCTAATGGTCCAATCTCCATAGCCAGTAGCTGGTAGGAAAGCCAACCTCGGAGTGCCAAGACTAATGCATTTGTCCACACAACATGAAAATTTGCTTCACAAAATGGATGGCATCAGTACACTGAACCTGATGAAAGAGCTCAAGGTAAAGAGGGATTTTTGAAACACTTGACGTGAGCTCACACACTCATACTTTTGCCAGGTCGCCTTTAAAATTATTTCCTTGTGCCTTGTTTTCCTGATAACTCTTATATTAAGGGAGAATTAGGGGACGATGCAAGTCTGTGAATTCGGAGAATTCTACAATTTATGATTTTATTTTATGTTTGAATGTAAATTTGAATTGTAGAACTAATTTAAAAAATTAATACCAAAAAATACATTGAGATAGAGAAAAAAAAACATACAATAAAGTGTTAGCAACAGATGAATTATGCCATCCTATACTCGACCTGCCACTTCATATGCTTCTGAGACTCATTCTGAACTGCTGATGACAGCTTGGAGGACAGTTGTATTTTTTCTAATATGCATTTATAGTGGTACCTCGGGTTAAGTACTGAATTCGTTCCGGAGGTCCGTACTTAACCTGAAACTGTTCTTAACCTGAAGCACCACTTTAGCTAATGGGGCCTCCTGCTGCTGCCGCGCTGCCAGAGCCCGATTTCTGTTCTTATCCTGAAGCAAAGTTCTTAACCTGAAGCACTATTTCTAGGTTAGCAGAGTGTGTAACCTGAAGCGTATGTAACCCGAGGTACCACTGTAATGTAAAGAACAAGCACCTCTTGCCAGTATATGAAACACTGCTGCAGCAGAGAGCGGAGAGAAAACATCTGTCAGCATCAAGAGATGGGCTGGTGAGGGGCTTGGACAGTAATCCTTGGTATAAGAATTGGAGGATTATATGGGATATTCATCAGTGAAATGCAGGAGGGTATGGAGGTTGAGTGATAGGACTGCAAGTGCTAAACAGAACAGCCCAGAGTGATGGAGCTGGTTGCAAACAATGTGTCTTGGCAGCTTGAAAAACAAATTTCTCAACAATCGTGGCCTTACCTTGGTTATTTGAAGGCTCATTTCCTGATGCTATGGATCATCTGGGGATGGATGCACCTGGAACTACCCAGATCCACCTGAAACAGGAGCAGAAGGCATGCTGCTTACAAAGGCAGGTGGGCCCCATATGGAACTAGATAATTAACTGGTGGCCCAGTCTGGATGGCGCTGGTCAGAGCTACTTCAGGAGGAAAACGTTCCTAGAAGAAGGAGATATTGTGGTGTAAGTGGTTAAGGCACCAGACTAGAATCTGGGACGCCTGAACTGAAGTTCCCACTCAGTCATGGTCACCATCTCTCAGTGTAAATTCCCTCATGTGGTGTCAGGTGTGCGTGTAGGAGCCAGGCCCTGTGACCAATAGGACTTTGCAGGACTGGGGCCTTCCTAAGTTTGTTCTGAAGAGGCAAGGCGTGGCCGCACAGGTGAGGCCAACTGGTAACTCACAGCACCTGGTGGCAAGAGCCAGGAAGGGATATAAAGTCAGCGTTTCCCTTTGGCTCTTTGACACAGCAACACGCTTCCTGCCTTGCTGTGTTTGGCTTCTTGCTTCCTGATCCTTGAACCTCGACTTCTTGACTTCTTGCTTCCTGACCCTCAGACCCTTGGCTTCTTGACTCCCGGCTCTCTGACCCTCAGACTCTTGGCTTCCTGACTCCTGGCTTCTGGACCCCTGTTCCTGCTCCCACCCCACCATCTTGCCCCCGGTCCTGACGTCCCCTGCCAGGACTTTGATCGCCCGTGAACCTGGCCGTGACATGTGGTGGTTGTGATGGAGGAACCATGAATGAGCTCCTTGTTAGGAAAGGGTGGCAATACAGATGAAATAATAGATAATAATGATAGCGAAGAATGTCAGAAGAATCATTCTGGATCTGACCATAAGCCCATCTAATCTGGCAACCAGTTCTCACCATCCACCTGCCAATGTGTCAGAGGCTGGACTGAGGAGGAATGGTGGGAGCCGCCACCCCCGTTCTCCTGAACCTTCCCAAGGGCAGGAGGACAGTATTGATTTAGAACAGTGGTTTTCAGAGGGGCATCATCCAGAGGGAAGAAGCTGGGAAATACTGGGTGAGGAACAACTAGAAGAGGGCAAACCAGGAGAGAGACAGCTGGCAGATTCAGTGTCCCTGGACAGCATTCCTGACTCCTCCTCGCCTAGGACTGGATGAGCTCTGAGAATGATACAACAAAAAGCACATAGGCAACAAGCTCAGATTACCCAATGTAGGAGTGACGTAGATTAAGGGGGACGAACCTTAACTGGGAGCAGCATAAATTTTTGAGGGTTGTGCATTCCTTTCTCTCACTGTGATTATTAAAGAAACTCTGGTAAGAACGCTCCTTTTGTTTGATCTTCTTAATCCAGGCATAGGCAAACTCCGGCTCTCCAGCTGTTTGGGACTACAATTCCCATCATACCTTGCTAACAAGACAAGTGGTTAGGGATGATGGGAACTGTAGTCCCAAACATCTGGAGGGCTGGAGTTTGCCTATGCCTGATTTAATCACTGCCACAGGGGGAGGGATCCGCTTCCTTGAAGCCTGACACAATGGGAGGCCCACAGGCAAGACCATCCTTTTTTTGTTCAGAACTAGCCAATGTGTGTTTCTAGAATTATTAATTTATATGCTGCTTAATACCAGTGTAGGGTTCTAAGGGGTTTACAAATATAAAACCTAGTGTCGTTAACTGGATTTAGCCCACGCTCAGATCCCGAACCAAAATTTGGCTTGATTCAAAGGGGGATGTGGAAGCAGACCCCAGCATGATAAGCTGGTAAGTGGAAGCTTCAATCCTGCTGGCTGCAGGGGTCTACTTCACCAGGTAACAGCACCCAGCAGGATTGACCCGACTGCTCTTGCAATGCAGTCAGGGTGAGTGGAGAGGCAGTGTCTCCTTCTCCCTCCCCCTCCTGACCACATGTTCAAATAGGATTTTAAAAACACTGATTAAACCTTAGCCCCATCCTTCAACCAGGGGAGCTGTGCGGAGCCATAATAGATACCAGTTACACAAACATTAAAATATAAATATCCACCACTAAAATGTGCAATAAAACAATACCGTTAAAGCAACACAACCATTAAAACAGGAGAGCTGGTTGGGTGATTGAGGGAATGCCTGCATTAACAGACGCCTAAGCAAAAGCACATACGGTAGATGCATTATGCACACATGTGCATGGATTTATTTATGAAGGCTGATGCACTAGAGAACAAAGAGGAAGGGACGCTCTGACCTGCTGCCCCCAGATTACTCAGCTAGCAAATACTTCCACTCCAGAGATGCAACAGCCAAGAGAACAGAAGAGCAGAGAATTTATATTATGAGTCATGGACCAGTTGCCTGGGGGTGGCATTTTTCGTCAATAAGCCTCAGGTCAGTGTGTTGCCGTGGAGGACCGGCAAGAGCCAGTGGGAGGGAATCAGGAACCCCAAGAACACCAAAGGCCCAGGGGTGCCAACTTGAACAAAATGTGCTGGTCCCGTGGGTTACCCGAGAGGCAAGGTCCAAGTCCGGTCCGTGGTCAAAGGTGCAACGTGGAGTCAGTCGGCAGTAGCTGAAGCTGGGTGCAGGACAGGGAGTCGGGTGAAGTCAGGAACAGGCTTGCAAGCAGGGAGCCAGGGCGGGTCAGGAGCTCAGGCAGGAAAGCAGGACAGGGTTCAGGCAGGAACTAGCAACCGACAAGGTTGCTCCCACAACTTGGGACTGGGGCTGGCCAGCTTTTATCTGCCCCAAGGCATAGGGTGGCCCCGATTCTCAGGTGACTCGCCTCTCCTGGCCTGGAGATGAGCACTCCTCCTGCGGGAACTTAGTTCCCTCCGCCTCTCTGCCCTGAGCCTCTGCAGCTCAGGAGAGGCTGGAGGGTTACCGGACCCAGAGGCAACCTCAGCTTCCTCTGCCAGGGCTGAGAATGGAGAACCTGCAGGCAATGGGTCCTCCACCCCGTCAGGAACCAGAGCAGACTCAGCTGATGCCTGCACCTGAGGATCCAGCACAGGTGAAGACCCTTCAGGCTCAGGCCCCAGCCCTGGCTCAGCTGGTTCTGGAGGCAGGGAATCCTGTGCAGGCTGGGATCCCTCAGGTTCAGCATCCGAGTCTGAATCCCAGGCCATCACACAAAATATTGTGGAGGCCTAGGTAAGCCCTGTCCTGCATCACATGACGCAGTGAGCACACACCATTTGAATGCCCATCAACTTTGTGGGGGCCAGGCCCCCTCAAATGTTTTATGCTGGGGGCTGAAGCCCCCATGGCCCCTACGAGTTGGCTCCCATGCCAAGGCCCACCTGAGAGAACACAAATATCCAGGAACAGTGGTGTTTTTGTGGGTACCCTTTTGGGTTGGGTCAAGAGCAAGGGTAACCCTTCTTTGTGTGAGAACCATGGTGGGCGAGGGTTGGGGCGCTGGGGAGGGCTTTGTTTCTTTGCCCTGAAATAGTGTGAAATATACTCGGAGTCGAGTGTGAATTTCATGCTCTTTATTCAGCTCATAGTAGCAATGAATGAATCTTTCCCCAAAACGTCTAGCTATACAGTGGTACCTCTGGTTACGTACTTAATTCGTTCTGGAGGTCCGTTCTTAACCTGAAACTGTTCTCAACCTGAAGCACCACTTTAGCTAATGGGGCCTCCTGCTGCTGCCGCGCCGCCGGAGCACGATTTCTGTTCTCACCCTGAAGCAAAGTTCTTAACCCAAGGTACTATTTCTGGGTTAGCGGAGTCTTTAACCTGTGGAGTCTGTAACCTGAAGCGTTTGTAACATGAAGGGTCCGTAACCCGAGGTACCACTGTATATACATTATTTAAACAATGGGCCCCGCGTGATTGGCTAATTCCAGGCTGCTCATTCAGGCCAATCAGGTTGCTGATTCACTTCCACCTGGAGCTGGATTGGGTGGCTCCTGCAGAACAATCAGACTGCTGCATTCTGGATCCTATTGTTCTAGAATTCTAGAATTGTTGCAGGATTCAACTCAGTACATAACATAGTGAGAAGTGAATGGTGACTATAAGGATAAGGCAACTGATTTATGTTATGCTGTAGTGCATGCTATGAATATTTTGAAAGATTGTTATACATATGCAATTGACAGAGAATCAGAAGCCCCTGTTTCTTTCTTTTCTTTTCCTGTCTCTCTTACTTAGTCTTGCTGCTTTTATTTTGTAGCTCTTAAAGGTAAAGGTAAAGGGACCCCTGACTATTAGGTCCAGTCGTGGCCGACTCTGGGGTTGCGGTGCTCATCTCGCTTTATTGGCCGAGGGAGCCGGTGTACAGCTTCCGGGTCATGTGGCCAGCATGACTAAGCCGCTTCTGGCGAACCAAAGCAGCACACAGAAACGCCGTTTACCTTCCCGCTGGAGTGGTACCTATTTATCTACTTGCACTTTGATGTGCTTTCGAACTGCTAGGTTGGCAGGAGCAGGGACCGAGCAACGGGAGCTCACCCCATCGTGGAGATTCGAACCGCCAACCTTCTGATCGGCAAGTCCTAGGCTCTGTGGTTTAACCCACAGCGCGATCGAAGATGAAGGGATCTATCTGAGAGGCAGGGCAGAAAGCATCTCCCAGGGTAGGAGGCTGGTACCCAGGTGAGAGCTGGGAAGGTCTACTTTTCTGCATATGGAAAAGGTGATTTGACATCATTCTGATAGAGGGCTTTTTAAATTCATTTTTCACTTTTCTCATTTTCTCCTGCCTCTCTATTTTTTAAAAAATTGTTTTTCTTTATTTTTCTTTTCTTTAGATTAGTTTGGCTTTTATTGTATTCTATGTTGAAAACTTTCAACAAAAACATTTAATACATTTTGAGAGGCATTTGATGCTTAACGCTATTGCTGATTGACAATCTGTCTTTTAAAATTCCTGCTCTTCCCACCCCCCCGGCTGATGTGTACTTTTTTTGCAATTTTATGTTGTGCTCTGTGAACAGAAGAGCAGACTATGATTGACTGAATAACCAATGAACTGGCACTGGATGTGAAAATGCTAATGTTTCCATCACAGTGCCATCCCGTGCAGGTCTACTCAGAAGTAAGCATCAATGGGACTTGCTTCCAGGTACGTGCACACAGGACTGCAAGTTAAATCCATTAATCCGTTAATGACACGTTTCAAAGGCTAAGAGCGACTTCGCTGAATGGGCCAAGGCATGTCACCGAAAATATTTAAAACACACAAACTCAGGCAAGATCGGGGCAAGAATCCAGAGATGTCAGTGCCGATTCCCGCACGGTTCCATTCAAACCTACGAGAACAAAAAAAAAATCCCCCAAGAATTGTTGCCAGGAAGAATACAGCAAAACAGATCATTAGAAATCCACACGGAAGCAAACACAGAGGAGGAAAAGAGCAAATAGAATAATAAGATGCCTCCAGCAAAAGCAAGCGGTTGTCAGTTGTCAGAGGTAAATGGGCATCAAACCCTGTGGTGAAAGTCATAACGCAGGAAATAATCGCGGGGGGGGGGAAATGAAATGATAAATACGGTTCTCTTTGAAGAGAAACTCAACACTAATGAGACCATGAATAAAACCATCTCAAGGATGCGAGATGCAAAGCATCAAGAATGAATTATAGTGATAATGGAAGGGGAAAGAGGGACATCAGAGTAGGAGGAGCAGTGCCAGTCTCTGGGGAATTGGTCTGCTGAAGTTCACCTGTTTTATTGCCTCCTCCACAGCAGGGTTGCACAGTCTCTGCCTGCCCCCCCCACCTGAGGGGCTGTTTAGAGGAGCAGTTGGCTCCGTTCCATCTCACTTTGCCTTAGGAGGAGCCCACAGAATCAGGCCAGTGTAGGCCAGAATCCTGTTCTCACAGTGGCCAAGCAGGTGCCTATGGGACTCCCACAAGCAGAAGCTGAGCAAAACAGGTCCCTCTGCCCTCTTGTGATTCCCAGAAACTTGCATCCAGAGACATACTGCCTCCGTAAGGGGAGTTAGAACTCATCCATTGTGGGTTGTGGCTGCTGACAGCCTTAGCATCCACAAATTTGTCTCAATTTGTCTTTTACAGCCCCCCAAGTTGGTGGACATCATTATTCAGTGCTTTTTCTTTCTTTCTAAAAAAAAAAAGTTTAGGGGTACTCTCATTATGGCTCATGAAAATCACCATTTTATAGTTCAAATTGGGGAAAACAAATACAGTAAATACAACAAAATGGACCAATCAGCGTGCTAGATTCCAATTCCTACTTCACACATTAAACGCTCGCTTCCGTCTGAGGCTCAAGAAACATTGTGACAGGAAATAAGGCTGCCATCAGGGTAGCAACGGAAATAACGATTCACCGTGCTATAGAAGAAACTATTTTTTAAAATAATAATAATAATAGTTCCTTCTCCCATTAGAGTCACAAAATATTTAGGGGTATGCATACCCCTGCGTCCCCCCCAGAAAAAAGCACTGTCATTATTTATTGTGGGAGTGCATTCCATAGGTGCCATGGGGGGGGGTCGTGGTGACCAAGGCTTCCCACCAAATTTTCAAGCAGGGGGGTAGGCACACACACAAGAATTCAGCAACCATGTGTGCACACCACACGACATGCTCACCCTAATCATGCAGCCCATGTGGCATGCCCATGTTACTTGTGCGCACCCCGTAACATGGCACACAACATCAACGCATAGTGCAGGAGGTGTGCGCATGACATTAAAGGGGTCTCAAGGGATGTCCCTGTCCAGAAGCCAACATGGTGTCAGGAATAAGCCAGCTCCTAGTGGAACTTTACAGTCAGCTGCAGAACAGAGAGGGTTAGATCTGATACAGGCTGAACAGTGGTCACAGGCGGCTTCCCTGCCCCTTGGAATGCTGGTTGCCAAGGGAACAACTGAGAGTGGGCTGGAACACAGCCAAAGCTCTCAGGAAGCTCAAACAGACACAGAGAGTGTCTCTAAGAAAAGGAAGAGGCTGGAGATGATCCAATAAGGCCAAGGAGTCAGCAAATGGGAGGGCTGCTAGACAGAAAGCAAAACAAGAAATGTAAGGGGCATCAGTTCAATATATTCTGTAGACACCGGAAAGAGTCTTCAGAAGGGTCATCTTGCGTGATAATGCCAGCGGCTGTATTAGAGCTATCCGGAGCTATCTGTTTGTTTTTGCAATAAATCCTCCCTTTTAATTACCTACGCTTACTGTGTTATCAAGCCGGGAATCTGGACTCCTGACACATGAGGCAGATGGGCCATTGGGCTTCCTGCAGTGGCTTTAGGATGGCCACCTCAGTAGATTAATGTCTTGGGGAGGCCATAATCCACAACACAACCCTGAAGCGGTTCCAGGCCTCTGGCGGATACAGAACCGAAGGTGCTCTCACAGGCAGCCAACAAAAGATAGAAGGGCAGTCGAAATATAGCCTTATGAGGCTTTGCCCTCGGGTGGGAAAAATATTGCGCCCGGGAAAGGGAGATGGGAGTCAACAGACACTCAAGGAATAGTTTCGGAGAAAAAGCTTTATTTCTACCATCCATGAACTGGTAGAAGGAGCAAGTGTGATAACTCACAAAAAGCATGCACGGGTTCACAGTCATGTGCACAGAGTATATATACCCCTTCCAATTCCCTCCCCTTTCTCCTCCCTCAGGAGTCCTGCCCATGAGTTCCTCTGAGCATGAACAGAAAGCTCCCCTGTCTTGGGACTCTTTTGGACTCTTGGCGCCCTTCCCAGGAAAGGGGGGTGAGAGCCAAGGGGTCGAGGAGCCCTGGTGGGTCAGCATGTCCAAGATGTTGCAACCGAATGAGATAAGATTCAGTTCTCAGGCCTGCTCTAACAGAGTCTATTCATTAGCTTTTTGAAGCCTTCTTGTGCTGATAAAAGTAACATTTTTGCCTTGCAACAGCAGAGCAAATGAGCAAATGCTTAGCTGCTGAGAAAATGATTTTGAGAAGCTTTGAGCCTGCTTTGGGGGGGGGGTGTGACTTCGGGCCTAGGTGGGGTCACCTGTCCTCACCTTCCTTCACCCCCAACCTCTTGGATGACAGCTGGAGGGAAGATGACTCTTGCCTTTGAGAGAATGGCAGAGTAAGAAAGGAAGTTAAGAAGCCTCAACTTCTACTTTTATGGGTTGCAAAGGGTGTGGGCACCTTTATCGTGAAAGTTGTTGGCAAAGCTGGCCCTTCTCTCTCCTTCAAGTAGGCATCATTATCATGAGGTCACAGTTGCCAGCGTCTCTCCCTCAGACAGGCAATATCATCATGGCCTCTCCCTCCTTCAGGTGGGTTGGTACATTGGCCAGTTTCTCTCTTCCTGGGAAGGACAGCCAAATGGGGGCACATGGATTTGTCAGTATCCTGGCACCAGCATGTGGTCACAATGGCCAATCTCCTTCAAGCAGGTGACAGGTGACATCAGCATGTGGTAACCATGGCCAGTCCCTCTCCTTCAGGTGAGCAGCATCAGCATGAAGTCACAATGGACAGTCTCTGACTGTTAATTCCTATCAGCCAAAATATTCTGAAGTGCCTCGATTCTATCATGGGAGTTCATTGTATGTGCTCTTAAAATTCCATATGGTTTGCCTTATTTTTCTCTTCTTCTCCATGCCTGATCCCAGGTGGGAAGAAGGAGAGGCAGATAGTCTCTGCTTTGCTGGAATATTTCCCACAGAGCTAGACCCCAGCAGGACTGCTCCTTCCCACCAAGTCTGCCCTTTAGATAAGCATGGGATGTATGGATTGATAGACAAGTGTAATTGCAAATAAACCTTATATCACATAAATGCTATTAGCCTCCAGTAACCTTAATTCCAGGGACGCGGGTGGCACTGTGGGTTAAACCACAGAGCCTAGGACTTGTCGATCAGAAGGTCGGCGGTTCGAATCCCCGTGATGGGGTGAGCTCCCATTGCTCGGTCCCAGCTCCTGCCAACCTAGTAGTTTGAAAGCTCGTCAAAGTGCAAGTAGATAAATAGGTACCGCTCCAGCTGGAAGGTAAACGGCGTTTCCATGCGCTGCTCTGGTTTGCCAGAAGCGGCTTAGTCATGCTGGCCACATGACCCGGAAGCTGTATGCCGGCTCCCTCGGCCAATAAAGCGAGATGAGCGTCGCAACCCCAGAGTCTTTCACGACTGGGCCTAATGGTCAGAGGTCCCTTTACCTTTACTTTTACCTTCATTCCAAGGTAATGAAACTTATGGTATATGCCAAGACTCCTGGAACTTCTCACCACTCTGAGAGAAGTATTTTATCATCAAAAGAGTGCGCACACAGTTCTTTGGTTTTTTCACAAAACTGGTGTCTGGCTTGAGGAATCCTCCCCCCCCCCCCATGGCACCAAGAAGCAGGGAGGAAACAAGAAAATTCATATGTATGATTTATTCAGTCATCACAATAAAAAACAAAGAATTCCAGTCATTCCTCCATAATGGAGTTGCTCACCCCGAGCTCCTCCCCTTTCCCTCTCTAGCAACAACACCTGCTTCTACGGCTTTTGCCTGGCGCCTAAAGGTGTATAATGAAGCTGCCAAGTGAACTTCCCTGGGGAGAGTATTTCACAGACAGGGAGTCACTGCGGAGAAGGCCAGTTGCGTGGCGAGTTCCCGCCCCCCCCCAGTGGAAATAAAGACACGTGACACAATTATTTAAGGTTAATGGGCTAAATATGGCCACAACTTTTTTGGGTTACAGGTGATGAGCGGTATTGGCTTAGGCATTGGTCCTAACCGACTATCCAGCTTCAGCCTTTCTGCGTGAAGTCTGGGAAGGGTTAACCACCAGTAGGAGGAGTCCTGCTGATGCACACCAACTAGGATCTCCCCCGGGGTCACCTCTCGGGGGCGTGCCTTAGGCCCTCACCTCCCTAGGCTTCGGACAGGGCCACGCCCCCCAGAATCCTTTATTGGACTACCCTTCAATATGTGGGGCAGGTGATGGTACTTCCTCCCCCCTTCATCTACATAACAATACCAATGCCAAACTGCCAATACCAAGGAAGTTGTGATGATTTGCTACGAGGTAGGTGAAAAAACAAGTGGCTGGTGCCAATTTGCCAAGTGGAAAAAATTCCTACCAGGCCTCTTAACGGTGACCAACCGAGGTCCATAGCAAGGTCAAAGACGAAACCTTAAAGAATGGGTGGGTGGGAAACCGGAGCAGCTGGAGGCGGCAAAAGAGGGAGATCCCCAGCCACCCCTGCGTTAAATTGGGCAGGCCACACACCCCGAGCCAGCCGATTGGCTGTCCAGGGGATGATGCAGCCGGGGATTCCCTCAATCGCTCGGAGGCTGAGAGCCAGCCACCGCGCGTGTGCTGGTCCCGGGGGGAAGGTTACCGTTGGTGTGGTCAAAGTCCAGTCCTGGGTCAAGAGTCTGGAAACAGTTCACAAAGAGCGAAGCGGGGTCCGAAGCAGGAAGCCGGGCGGGGACGGGAAACTCTGGAAGGACAGGTCTGGGTCCGGGCAGAAGCAGGTATCCAATGACGTTGCGCCCGCAACCTGGGACCGGGCTGACTGGCCTTTATCTTCTCTGAGGCCAGGGGCGGTCCCGGCCCCCAGGAGACCCGCCTCTCCTGGCCTTAAGGCGAGCACTCCTCCTGGGGAAAACCAGTTCCCTCCGCCTCTCTGCCCTGAGCCTCTGCAGCTCAGGAGAGGCTGGAGGGTTACTGGACCCAGGGGGAGACTCACCTTCCCCTGACAGGGCTGGGAGAGGCGCACCTGCAGGCAATGGGTCCTCAATCCCCTCTGGAGCCAGAGTGGATACACCTGGTGCCTGCTCCTGAGGATCCAAGGACCTGCCCCAGCTCAGCTGGCCCTGGAGGCGGGGACTCCTGTGCAGGCTGGAGTTCTTCCGGTTCGGCCTCTGAATTGGATTCCCAGGCCATCACAGCACGCGTGGTGGGGGCGTGCAGCCCGCAATCCCACCTCTTCTGAAGGCGGAAGTGGCTTTCTCATGTTGCCACCCTCCAGACCTCTTGAGGAGGAGGCACATGAAGAAGGGCCTCAGAAGATGATCTCAGGGTCCAGGTAGGTTCATATGGAAAGAGGCAGTCCTTGAGGTATTGCGGTCCTGGGCCATTTAATGCTTTATAGGTCAAAACCAGCACTTGAATTGGGCCCAGAAACTAATTCATAGCCAGTTCAGTCGGACCAGGATAGGTGCCATTTGCTCAAACTGTCTTGCTCCAGTGAGCAGCCTGGCCACTGAATTCTGTACTAGCTGAAGTTTCCGAACTGTCTTCAGAGGCAGCCCTATGTATAATGCATTGCAGTAATCTAAACTGAGATTACATTGCCCTTAATGTGTTCAAGGGTGCAGGCTGCATGCCAGAGAATCTGCAAAGGCTGCAATGTTGCGCAAATTTACATCAGAGTAGGCTCCATCGAATACCATGGGGTGTCCAAGTAAACAAGCACAGTGCTAGTCAAATTTGTATAGACAGTCTTCATAAATCAGTCCTTGGAAGTTAATTTTTTTCCTTCCAGAACCCGAATGCTGCAAAACTGGAGGTAGGTATTCTGGTTTTCAAACTTTTTTTCGGAAGCCAAACATGCTGTTTTGAATCCCCCTGTGTTTCCTGTTGCGCTGCGAATTTGCATCACACACACACCACATTGTAATTCAAGTCTTCAAGCAGTGTTCTCAGATGGTATTTGGAGCTTATATTTGGTGCTTTTGTTTTTGCTATTTATTTTGAGTTTTTTGTTTTGAGGCTTTTTCAGTTAATTTGTTTTTGTGAAGGTGTGGATCCCAGTTCAGCTACTGATTGATTGATTGATTGATTGATTGATTGACTGTGGAAATGGATAAAAGCCCCCCATCCAAATAATGTCTATCATCAGTGCAGGTAAGAAAAATATTTAATTTTATTTTTTATCATCTACAATACTGTTTTATTTATTTCATAGTACAGTACATTAATTATTGCTTTCATTTTATGGGTCAATGGTCTTGTTAGATAGTAAAATTTCTGTTTTAGGGGTTGTTTTTAAAAGTCTGGACCAGATTAATCCGTTTTGCATTACTTTCTATGGGAAAGCGCACCTTGGTTTTGGAACGCTTTGGTTTTGGAACAGACTTCCGGAACACATTAAGTTTGAGAACCAAGGTATCACTGTAGTTTCATGCCATCTGTTCCAACTACAACAACAGAAATGACAGAGAGCTTGATGGATACCAACATTAGATGTCAACTAGCTTCCGTTGGAGATAGAATCAACAACCTGCCATTCTTCTTCTTCAGCCTGCGGCCATTTCAGGCATGGTGGGTGGTTTGCTGGTATCTCAGCAGGCTTGCATCTGAGACAGCTAGTGCAATGCAGTTTACCAAATGGAATGCATCCCTTTCCTTCCAAAGGTTGCTCATTTGCATATGTATAATTAGGCCCATTTAGCAAAATAAGAAAGAACGTCGAAAGGGAATTAACAATTAAGCCCTACGAGCCATGCTTCGAGTCTCACAGCAGTCTGCTTTGGCAAGCGATTTGTTTTTGAGGAAATCAATCATACGTCCTCACCATGATGGAAAGCAACAAGACATTCCATTGTTAGGCTCCCAATGACCTTGTCACTAAGCAACCTTCAAGAAGGCTTTGTAGCAGCTTCATTCTTAAGCCTATCAAGAGCTGCTATTCACTTCCCGTAAATCATAGCAGAGCTGCCTGTTTCGTGAAATTGGTAAGGAGTTCCCCCTCCCCATAACAGTGGTGACAGAGTGGATAAAGCGTGGTTCCCCCTGATCACAGACCCTACAAGTGTCCCTATTTCCCAGGAACAGTCCTGGATTTAAGAAGCCATCCCAGTTTCTGATTTGATCCCGGAATGTCCCACTTTTCTTTAGGATGTCCATATTTTCAATGGAGAAATGTTGATGGGTATGGTAGGACATCCCTTTCCCATTTCCCTGGAGAAATGTTGGAGGGTATGGAGTTATATGATCCCTGAGCCAAGGAGATAAGCAATTACACAAGCTTTAGAAGGCCTCTGAAGGCAGCCCTGTATGGGGATTTTAAAAAAAAGATTAATGTTGTATTACAGGGATGTCCAACAGGTCGATCGTGATCTACTGGTAGATTCCCGGTAGGTTTTGGTAGATCACGGTTGATCGCTGGGTCCCTTTCCTTAGTGTAGGTAAAATAGAATCCAGCCCTGCCCTGTTGCTCCACCCTCCAGTGTTGTATGATCTGCAGAACAGAAGACGGAGTTTACTCAGTGAAGCTGTTTGTTTCCCCAGAGATGTGTTGGTGAGTGGCCGTCCCCCTTTCTTTCTCAACAACTTTGCCCTGTACCCCTAAAAAACAGGGCTTTCCTTCCTTTAAAAAGGGGGTAGATCACTCCCAGATTTTAATTCTGTGAGTAGATCGCAGTCTCTTGGGAGTTGGCCACCCCTGTTACATTATGTTTTTCT